CCCCCCCCCCCCCCCCTCCCCCCCTTTTCCCCTAAATTCCGTTACAGTCGGCTCAGCAGTGAAAACAAGCATACGGATAAAATTAGGGGAACGTGGCCAGCCAAGTAAGGAAAACGTGGCCAACGTATTTCCTCAAAATCGTTGAAGCTGCACAGCTACCGCAGCTCCTTAGTTCTCTTTCCCCTCCCCCTTCCGCACTGGCGCTCTGTCCAAAAAAGTGAGAGCAATTTGGGCTTTTAAAAATGGAAAATCAAACGCTACTTTTTCCGCAGAGGTCTGTGTGGAAACAGAGCAGAATTCCAAATTTTCCGGATCAGTGCCAATATCTCTTACCGTACTGAAATTCCATGGCGCGTCATCTGTTCCCGTATATTTGTCCAAATATTTGCCTCGCCTTCGAAAAACCGCCTAAACAGCTCAGACAGATTTATCACAGATGCTGTACAGGCTGGAATCAGTCTGCATATACTGCAGTGCGTTAAAACGCAAAAAAATATTTCAATTCCTGCTAACACGCAATATTTAAGGGGAGATGATGGAGAAGAAAAGAAGCATCATTTCACCAAAGGAAATGTTGCTTTTAACTATAGCAAGTGTCTCCCCCCAGAAACTGGATATGCGAATGTACAACGTAACTAACAAAAGACAATGCTGTCAATTATTTCTGATTAGCAGCAAGAACTGAAGAAAAATTGAAGCGTGTGTCGAAGTAAAGATGGGGAAAAGCAGAACAAACCCTCGAAAACACCGCTCAGTACTTTTAGAGTAATTCAGCAACACTGTCCGCTCCTCCAGAGCTGAACTATGAAGTAACGAGAACATACCGTGCAGTGCGGTGCATTTGTGTTCCAAGCCATATCACTATCGTCCGGTGTGTTGCTTACAGTCGAAAGCATCTCATCAACTGGCTCACTCGGCGGCTGTGAGAAAGGCTGGTTTGGGAAGAATGGCGGCGCCGGTGTCGCAACCATCAAAGGATTCTGGTGATAAGCGATAAAGCCGGGGGCTGGAACAAAACCTGGAACGGCTGTAGGCATTACCGGTGCTGTGGGTGCACCGGATTGATGCATGACCACATATGGACCAGTGTTTGGTGGTACACGTGACTGCGAAATGATGATTTGGGACATTTGCATCTGCATGCAGACGGCGGCAAGTTCCTCGAATGTGCCCAACAGCTGCATGAACGGGCTCTGAAAATCACACACATCATTCACGCCTTAGTTTTACTTATTCAGTTAGCCAACTTCCACTTACTTTTTTATCTTATTTAAAAATCAAAAACATATGCATCCCTGCAATAGTTCCCTCTGTGCTCATTCACAGTTAAGCTACAAAAAAAATTGCTATAAACTGGGCCGGAACGAGCTACTGTCACCTGAATGGTATATAATTTAGCCAATGGGACTCAAAAATCCATTGGAACTAGAAAACGAGGGTTATTTCAAGCCTTGAAAGATAAACGAACGTATATACTCCCAAGTGTTTAAAACATTAAAATAGGGAACAGAAGTATGACAAACTCAGCTGTCCAGAAGATGCAAAATTTGGCTAAATTGTGCAATGCGCTGGAATTATCTGTAAACATCATGAGGCCAGATCGAATTAAAGTACCAAACTAACTGTGATATACAGAGAGGTGGTTCGCCCATAGCGATGAACATACTAAATGAATGCATGAGGCTCAAAACGAAACGGCTTTGTATAGTTGTGAGCATTATCCCAGTAACATGACACTGTACTTGTGCAGGTGACCGCGGTTACTTTAGTTAAAAAAGAAGAATCGCTGCACAAAATTTAACCAGACCCAGCGAGGGTTGAGGCCTACTATAGGGGGCGCAAAACTCAGTGACGGAGGCGCTAAAATCAGATAGAAATGTTTTACGCAGCGCTGGAAAACAAAGCTCATGGATCTGGATATTAGAAATACATAATACTGCCTCTACTTCGACTGTACATAGTTATCTTGGTAAAAAAGGGATTGCACACGGTCTCTTTTTTACAAAGATAACCATGGCCATCCAGAGAATCGAACTGGGAACTAAACGGCGCTACGTATTTTTAAATAAAACGAGGCGTAAAGTCAGGAGCTGGTTGCAAAAACATAAATGCCCTGCTGTTTGCTGAATGCTCGATAAATCGATCACTTAACCAAGGTATTCAGTGAGAAAAGTTCAAACAAATGCTTTCATAAATAAGCAACACACTAACCTGTCCATTACTGTAGTGCACCCATTCAGCAAGCGTATGAAAGCAATCTTCATCCTTCGTTCGAATCAGCACTGCATCCGTAAAATAACCCGTTTTGAACCATCTCTGCATTTCCACCGACGAATATGGACCTGACCAAAACATTCTCTCAATTCTTTGTGCTAGCAAACTCTTTATTTTTCCATGTGATTGCCTAAAAATGAAGGAGTGGCCACACAGAACGCTCCAGGAACACAGCACAGTCTGCGCTCTCCCATCAGTAGCTGCTCTGTGAACGCACAGTGCCTGAATGCCTTATCATAAGGGGGAAAAAATGCGTTACGGTAATCTTTTAAACCTACAGCAGCTGTAACTCCGCGTCTTTCCCTTCCTCAAAACACAAAATTTCAGATTGTCCGCTGCACACACTGAACCACGAGCATCAACCTGAAGTTTTCAGTCATCAGTGTACTGCATTCCAGAAGTTCAATTTAAGAACAATGAAAGCTAAGATGCTGAAAACTTAAAAACAATTATTTCCCCCGCAACACAAAGCTGATTTAACAACTCCCAGCGTTAAAGTTGGTTAAAAGATGCCACCCATGGACAGCTGAGTTCTCCTTGCCTGCCTTTCCAGCAAGCCCATTGTAATCGGACAGAAGTAATAACTTCTGCACAAGACCGGAAGAGAGTGCGCGATGTGGGGTCAAATGAGCTTGTGATGGTTCATCAATCTATCCAGCACTGTGCCTTTCCAATTCCACTTAAATTCAGGGCAAGCTGATGTGAAATATTCGATTAGCACAACTGTATCAGCATTTTCTATAGACCCTGAAGCATCTGCGCACTGTGTATCCGTCTCGAAACACTACATTTCTCCTACTCGGCGCGCTACACAAAAAAAAAGAAAGTAACTGTGCAATTTAAAAAAAAAAAGTTTACCGTAGATGGCTGTATCGTCTCCTTGGTAGAACCATTTCGGGATGCTCAACACATCACAACCCGGATCCATTGGGAAGTTGTGCAACTCTTACCCCTTGAAAAAAAAAATAATCCTTTTCATTCATTTTAGGACGAAAAAGAAAGCGTCGATTTTAACCTAGTCGAGAACTGGGCCCAAAATATGGACGATTTACGGCCAGGAAATAATCACAAAAACCTTTTGGTGGAAGCAAAAAATTGGGACAAGCGTGCTAGAAGTGCTGGAACTGTGTCAACCAAAGCAAAACGAGAATAACAAGACAGCGAAGAAGCAGGGACCGCGAAGGCCCTGACCGGAGGTGTCCCTGTGCCTTCCACCTCAGCTAGCACAAGACTAATTTCACCTCATCCCCTTCTAGCAATTCACCCCAAACAGCACCCACTGGTAAGCAGCACTGTACCGTTTGCTGATCTTCTGATGTTTCTCGCTCCCCTCAATACTTTTTCTGTGCCGGGACGAACGATGCTAGTTGCAGCAGCAGCAGCAACAGCTACGCCTGGCTCCTACCTTCAATTAGTATCTGCTCGGAGTACATCCGACGATGCTGTAAACGGACAACTCAACTTTCGTACAATCTCTGCTGGAGATGCGGCACATATCTGGTGCCTGGCTAGGGTTGACGTAACCATAAACCTTCTCAGCGCCATTTGCAATCTGCCGGCCAGCACAGCGGTACTTTGCAATAGCTAGGTTTTTGCTGTGTTAATTTTGAAATTCAGCTCCTCTCATATCACGCGCTGAGCTACTGCAGTATCTCACTGATCTTACTCGTCAGCGTTAGCGACTGACCGCTACTCGCCACTGATATCTCAAGCAGCTTCCCAGCTCATGCCGCGAAACACCATCAAGCCCCCGGACGAGCAAGACTGTGCGACACAAAAATACAAGCGGCCGGCGCTGATCGCTCAGGAAGTGAGTACACGTCACAG